GGATTATGTATTTGTATGATAACATGTTTGGACTTCTGGATTATGTATTTGTATGATAACATGTTTGGACTTCTGGATTATGTATTTGTATGATAACATGTTTGGACTTCTGGATTATGTATTTGTGTGATAATGTGTTTGGACTTCTGGAGTATGTATTTGTATGATAATGTGTTTGGACTTCTGGAGTATGTATTTGTATGATAGTGTGTTTGGACTTCTGGAGTATGTATTTGTATGATAGTGTGTTTGGACTTCTGAAGTATGTATTTGTATGATAGTGTGTTTGGACTTCTGAAGTATGTATGTGTATGATAATGTGTTTGGACTTCTGAAGTATGTATGTGTATGATAATGTGTTTGGACTTCTGGAGTATGTATGTGTATGATAATGTGTTTGGACTTCTGGAGTATGTATTTGTATGATAGTGTGTTTGGACTTCTGAAGTATGTATTTGTATGATAATGTGTTTGGACTTCTGAAGTATGTATGTGTATGATAATGTGTTTGGACTTCTGGAGTATGTATTTATATGATAATGTGTTTGGACTTCTGAAGTATGTATCTGTATGATAGTGTGTTTGGACTTCTGGAGTATATATTTGTATGATAATATGTTAGGACTTGTCTTCCACAGGTCATGGTATTCTTATTATTTGTTAACATCACCTCCTTTGTCCTCTTGTCAGCTCCACAAGATCACTACACTAATAATGCTGACAAAATATTTTCCTGAATTAAAGGGCCTAATGGGTAAAAAAGTATATTGCTCAGATGAATGCCTTCTTTTTGAGGACCTTTAGGTTCAGTATTTTTTTATAAAACTAGTCCACTCTGGTCATTCTCCCTAAATCTGTGAATTATCTTCTGGTTCTGGATTCTACTTGAAATCTACATACTTCTAATAGTCTATATTACTACCCTCCTACCTTGTTGCTTGTAGTTTTATATTTTTCAGTTTCTTTTCATGTTCATCAATATCCATTTTTTTTACAATGTAGATATACCAACTTTTGGTATTTCAGAAGTAAGTTTACCTGATTTGAACATCACATTTTTAGAATTAAAATAAATTTCAAACAGGTACTTATCTCTAAAATATATTCATTAGGACTGTAGTTTCAATAAATTCTAAGTTATGACAAGAATTATGTAAAATCCCTTGACACTATAAGTCACATGGAAGCTGGAAGAGTGTAGAATTAGGGTTAAGTGACAGTTGCTCAGCAATGCATAATGATGATGACATAAGACTGGAAGAGTGTAGATTTAGGGTTAAGTGACAGTTGCTCAGCAATGCATAATGATGATGACATAAGACTGGAAGAGTGTAGAATTAGGGTTAAGTGACAGTTGCTCAGCAATGCATAATGATGATGATATAAGACTGTCAAAACATTGTGTATCTGTAATAAAATTTCTTTTACTACTCTTTCAATCTGATTACAAATTTATTTTCTAAAAAGTGGATTCTTCGTCACAAACATGGCATATGTTGCTATTCAGTAATATATCGGCCTGGCATGGCCAGGTGGTTAGGGTGCTTGAATTGAAATCTGATGGTCATGGGTTCACATCCTTGTCCCACCAAACATGCTCACCCTTTCAGCCATGGGAGCTTTATAATGTGATAGTCAAACCCACTATTCATTGGTAAAAGTATAGCCCAAGAGGTGGCAGAGGGTGGTGATGAATAGCTGCTTTCCTTCTAGTCTTTCACTGTTAAAGTAGGGATGGCTAGTGCAGATAGCCTCATGTCGCTTTGTGCAAAATTCAAAACAAGCAAACAAACAGTAATATATGCAGCTGAAAATTGTTTAATTTTTATGAGAAAACAGACTCGAAAAATGGATCAAATTGTTCAGTGTTTTCATATTTGAGAAGAAAATTCAAGTGGTGCAAGCTGACAAAGATTCTTGCTCTGAACCTGAATTATCTGACAAAGATTCTTGCTCTGAACCTGAATTATCTGACAAAGATTCTTGCTCTGAACCTGAATTATCTGACAAAGATTTTGAGCATGATGTAACTGAAAAAAGTATATGCTTTAAAAGGGTTAACAAAGACACTGTTTTAGTACTTTTTTCTTGTTCTTTATAAAGATGTAAATACAGAGTTTTAATTAGTGTTTCCTCCTAACTGTTTAATATCATCAGCAGTTTTCTTTTTTTTTGGTGTGTAGAGTTGTAAATTCATTTTAATTAGCTAATTTCTGCTTATAGGCAGAATGTCTCATGTGTGTATCATAAGATTGGTAAAATAAATCCAAAATTGTAGTTTTGTTTATAACAATTCTCTGTAGGAAATGTTTATTTTATATAGTGGCTGATCCATTGTTGACCCAGGAGTTTAAACACTTGTGTCCATATATATATATGAGAAGTTATCTTATGTTTCACATAGTTTTTAAGTGTATATTTGCCCTTTTAATAGATTTTCTTGATAAAAAAAAGCAGATACAAATTAAACTCTAAATCTTCTATTTATTATATTATCATAGTTGGTGTTTCAAGTAACTGCCAAATTGAAGTCAGCAACATGCTGTACACTAAAGAGTGACATACCACTTCACATGGTTTCTTTTACAACAGGCAAGTCAGTGGCATCTTCACAGTGTCAGTTCAAATTAACCACTGTCAATTATTGATTTTGTGGTATCTTCACAGTATCAGTTCAAATTAACCACTGTCAATTATTTATTTTGTGGTATCTTCACAGTATCAGTTCAAATTAACCACTGTCAATTATTTATTTTGTAGTATCTTCACAGTGTCAGTTCAAATTAACCACTGTCAATTATTTATTTTGTGGTATCTTAACAGTGTCAGTTCAAATTAACCACTGTCAATTATTTATTTTGTGGCATCT